CTAACTACTTAAATTTTGGTCGACATGTACCTCTTAAAGGTAATTATTATGATGAGATTGAAGATCTTCGTGAGTTGGATTTAAATTATTTTGACAGAGATGGTTATGCCAATGTGCTGGCTCAATTTCCGCAGATTTTTAAGGATGTTCAGCGTCACCTTACGGAAGCGTACAATCACTATGGTCGTTATTACAATTTAAGAAAAATTCCCACTCCTAATTATTCTGTAGGTGATAAAGTTTGGAAACGGCATTATGTATTATCTTCAGGCCCTAACCAATTCTCTTCCAAATTAGCTCCTCGATGGATTTTATGTAATATAACCGAAGTAATCTCTCCCCTTATTTACAAGTTATCCGATGGGAATGGTACTGATTTGGGTAGATGGCATACCAAAGATTTAAAACCTTTTGCAGAAAACTCTTCTGATACTGATTCTGAACACGAAACGAATGAGGACTAAAATATCGATTATGACCGAGTGAATGATTTATGAATGTGATGCGAATGGTGTATGAATGTTATTTTTCTGTTGTTTTGTTTACTCGATTTTGACAATTAATCTCTAGAGAAACCGATAGTGACATTTTTTTGATATTTTTAATAATAATGATTCAATTCATTAAATCCGATAGTGACATTTTTTTGATATTTTTAATAATAATGATTCAATTCATTAAATCCGATAGTGACATTTTTAAATAATGATGATTAAATTCATTAAACCCGAACGTGACAGGAGAATTTTGAGACGCAAGAAAGCGTAAGTGAGAAAATAAGTTGTTTTTTTCTTTTCGAGAAAATTGTTGGCAGTATATTGTTGGTACATTTTGGTGGACCAGTATAGTTTTGGTGGGTACAAGAAATTTTTTGAGGCAGCATATTTTGTTTTCCAGAGTTTTTGCTAATTGAGGGAAGAACTGTTTAATTTTTGGGTCTTTTAAGTAGTGTGACTATTTTTTTGTCAGGCCGAGGTACTTTTACAGTAACACTTGCTACAGCATTCGCGGTCAGCTGTACAGCCTGTGACCATAAGTACCGAGTGGTGTCGGGTCAGCAGCCAAATAACGCCACACAGTGTAAGCATTCGTCTTGGATAGCGTGAACTGTTTGATGATTGTCTTGCACTGTTTGTTTTTATGTAACTGTGTTGTTTTGAATTATTTTTGATCAGGCCGACACTTTGCTGTCGCTATAGCAGGCAAGGCAACGCTATATCGCCTGTAGCACCATTAAGCCCAGTCCAAACGGTATGGTTCAGTTAGTGCAACTGACCATCGGGGTATTCCCATCTCCACTCCCAAATTTCCTTTTACCTTTTCCCCTCTTAAACTTTGGTTTGAGTGACTTTTTCTGCGTACGGTATGTCAGTGAGACATATCGTCGTAAATTTCGATTTTGAGTTTAACTCTGGTTTGCGGCATGGTTGGGACTGGCCCAATTTTCAATATTGGTACCGGGAGCCCGGGGATTTTGTTTGTTTTAGTTCTTGTAACTAACTTAAGTCTGGTGGGGGCTCTAACTCACTAGGGTCAGTCAGGATCCTTTCCTCTTAAAGGATAAATTTGCTTTTCCTGTAGTTAACTTTTCTGACATTTTATTTGCTTATTTGAGGTGTAGCATGACATGGCGTCTGCAAAGGAATTCCCTCGTTCCTCTTCATAATTGTCACCATTTAATTTCTTTGTGTTTATGTGGATCTGCAGTGGATATTTTGGGAATAAGGGTTGGAAAATGGTTGAGCTGGAAGACGTTGGTCTGGACATCAAGTGGTGGTTTTGTCGGTTGTGGGATTGGGGAGTGCAGGATGAGTTTTATTTCGGCACGAGTTTTTGGTATGGAAGGAAGGTGTGAAAATGATGGTGTAATCATGTTTCTATCTAGTCGGGGTACGCCGCCGGCGCGACAAACAACAACTAGTTGCGAAGGGTACCTTGATCCCATGATACATTGCTCGCGTTGCGATTAAGCTTTTGCTGGTGCTCTCACGACCATAGCGATAAAACGACAATTTATTTTATGTTGGTTTTTTATTTTATTTAATTTGGTTTTTGGTTTTTTTTCTGAATAAAAGAAAATGGTATCAGGTTCCCATTTTCTTTTTGTAGGAAAAAGGGGAATGTAACGGTTTGATTTTGGGAGTTATAGCTTATTTTGTTAAAATTTAGTAAGGGGAGCTTATTTGCTTAAAATTTCAGTACCAAGTCATTTAAAACCATTATTGGAGTACGTACCTTGTATGTGTGTTTGCTTAATGGGTAAATTTTGATCTATTAAGACTCTTCGTAACCTAGAGGTTTTTAATGATTTCTTGATTATAATTTAGCTTTTTCAGGTATTTCGGGTATAAAGTATTGTAATGTGGACCTGGAACAGACATTTCTGTAATGGCATGATGTGACCGATGTGTTTTTGTTTGAAAATATCATTTAAAATTGTTGTTTTGAGGTTAGACTTCTTCTTCTATATGTCACTTATGTAAGTGATTGAGTGCATTTCACGCGCAGGCAGATTTTGATTTCGGTGACTCTCTCTCTCTTCGAGCTGACATGGAAGACGGCGGTCACGATTTTGTGAATTTTTTAAAATCCGTCAGTTGGGTAGTCATCCTGTCAATTTTTTGAGAAAAAGAGCCCATAAGATCTAGGTAAATCCGTTTTCTTAATCTGCATTGCAAAATTTATCAGTATATTCCATTTTAGGCTTTTTTTTCTTGGAGATTAGAATTTTATAACCTCAAAGCACATTTTACCATTGTTTTGAAAATCTTCGTGGCTGATTGTTGTGTTGATTTTGCACTGGTGGTCCACTGCATATTCTCCAGACTTGGCCCTGGGTGACGATATTTCGTCCCAAAATACATATTGAACTTGTCAATGTTGATGATTGGAGAATAGTGTCCGTACATTTCCTGAGTGGATCTGGATGATCCATTTGGCATCCAGAACAGTTGTTGCTGGTTAAGCTTGCTTTTCCTAAGTACCAGTGTAATCTAATGCATGGAGGAGTAGCCCCGATCAAGAAAAATCTCATCGGTCATATCATGTCAAACGTTCCAGGCTCACAAGGTAGATTATAAATTTATTTTAAGAACCTTGTTAATTTATGTTGGAGAACCTGCTTGTAGTATCACTACCGTAGGATATAAACAGCAGATTTGCTGTGTTTGCAGTAATTTTAATTAAACCATCTTTATTATTAATTTTAATTTAAAAGTAATTTTAATTAAACCATCTTTATTAGTAATTTAAAGTGCCTAATTGTTTCTAAAAATAAACAAGGTGTATTTGGGGTAAAATTTTGTGTGTAATTTGTTAATAATTCCTACCTTTTTCTTTTTGACTTCCTGTCGATTTAGTCGCGACTGGCTCCTTCCTACTCCTTTTGATTATTAAAGCTATTACCATCTTAAACCCAGGCCTAGCGCCGACTGTATGAGCTAACCGAGGTAAGTAACTTAAGTTTTGTACGCTTTGTGCAAAGCTGACTTTATAATATATATATATATATATATATATATATATATATATATATATATATATATATATAACTTAGCGCCCGAACCCGGCTGTTTGAGTTTAGTATAGATGGTTATTAATTTTGAATAAATAAGTGAGGCAACACCGCAGGGCTTCTAATATACCACAATATGTGTCTCTTGCAGTATATGCACCACCGAAATTATAACCGGAGAGGTCGACCGGGCTTCGACTAGTCTGTGCTCGTATTGATAGCTGTGCATGTATATAAATATACAGGGTGGAACAAAAGTATGAAATAATGGTTTTAACTTTGTTATTTGCAAAGTTAAAAAAAGTTCAATATAAAAGTTATTTGGTTCATTACCAAGCATGTTTCGAGTTTTTAAGTTTGTTGATATCTTTTTTTGATGTTTTGTTTCTATGGCAACTATTTTCTTTTTAAATAGCATACTTTTTTATGAAAAAATCATATTTATCATACAATTTGAAATTTTTGAAAAAAAAATAAGCAAGAAAAAATATTTATTCGTCATCTCTAATAACGGAAGCTATGGAAAAAGTCATGCAGTTATAAAATTGAAACACCACTTTTGGTAAAGAATTCCATGAAAATTTTACATTTAAATTTATACGAACAAATATTTCTTTATTGTTTTCTTTTAATTGGTTTTCTTTAAATAATAAATAATTATTGTTGGTTTAAGGCAAAGATTTTTTCAACATTCATGCAAATTATTAATTTTAAAGACATGGCACATATGAGTAAGAGACAACGTATTAAAATATTAATAATTTACGGGCACGGAGATAGGAAGAGGACCCGAAGTGTGTAGTGTATTCAACGGAATTTACCCAGGTACTCCTGTATCTCAAGGAACAATCTGTCAACTAATTAAAAAATTTCGACTGGTAGATCAAAATCGGCAACTAGTGAGAAAAAAGCTTTAAATGTTCTGTTAACAATTGAAGAAACGTCAAAAGTGTCAATGAGGGAAGTAGCAAGCAATTTAGAAATCAGCCATACTTCTGTACTTTTAAAAAAAAGAAAAAAAAATCATCATTGGAAGCTTCAATTAATACATTAATTGAAGAAGATGATTTTTATAGACGGATAAATTTTTGCAAGTACATGATGGAACGATATAATGCAGATGAGAATTTTGCTTCAAATATTGTATTCTCAGATGAAGCGACCTTTATTCTAAACGGCACATTAAATCGATATAATCGATATCTTCAACTGCTTCAAACTCATGTCATACCTGCGATCACCGACTTATTCCCGGGTGAAAATGAAGGTATTGACGAAATAATTTTCTTCTAACAAGATGGAGCTCCTCCACATTTTCATGTTTTTCGAAACAGATGGATCGGCAGAAGAGGATCTTGTAAGTGGCCTGCTAGATCGCCGGATTTGAAGACCTTAGATGCTGAAAGGCCAGTCACAACAAATCACGAATCTACAAAATCAAATGGAGACGTTTATCCAATCCCTATCAGGACAGTAAGCCACTAGCATGGAAACCGAAGCAGAAACTGCACAAAGCAATGACAGCAGCACCAAAAGAAAGAGAAAAAACAGCAAATCTGAAACTCATGAACATAAAAACAAAAAAACCCAGGCAGAAAAGGATTATCCCCCTCTGCCACCTTCAACTTACGTGCCACCCCCCCCTGCAGTACCCAATTCGGCCCAAACCAACCCACTAGACGATTCTACAGTGCAAACCCAAATGACAACTCTAACTCCAAACAAAAACATTCACGTAGCTGATAACTATACCCCCCCAGCAACAAAAAAAGCAGCTCAGCCGGGCCCAGCTGCACTGGACGCAAAGGAAAACATTCCTCCAATCGTCCTAAGGATGAAAAACAGATGGACCATGATCTCTAAAGAGATAAGCAGGCAAGGCTGGTCATTTAACAAGGCAACAAACATCCACGACGGCATCAAATTCCAACCTACTGATATCAACTCTTTTAGAAAAAAACAGCCTTCCTTACATCTAACAAGGAAGAATACCATACTTATTAACTGCCGGAGGAAAAACTAATTTAAGTGGTCATAAGAAACCTACCGATGGAAATAAAAATCCAAGAAGTTGAAGACGAGCTAAAAAACGCTGGATTCTTTCCAAAAACAGTAGTAAGGCTTAAAAAGGGAGCAGAAATGAAGGAGATACCCCCTATACTAGTCAAGTTGGAAAAAACTCAGACCAAGATATACGAACTGGAAACTCTGTGCAGTATGCGCATTAAAATTGAGACTCTAAGGCACAGCACAGGCATAGAACAGTGCTAAAGGTGCCAAAAATTCGCGCACGCCCAAACGAAATGCACGGCGACTCCGTGATATCGTAAGTGCGCGGAAGAGCATGACACGAGAGAGTGCCTAAATAAGCCTAAATCACTCAAATGAGCAAACTTTGGTGGAAATCACACGGCAAACGCGCCAATCTGCCCACGGAACCCAAACACTGCAAAAAAGCTCAATCTCAATTCCAAAATGACGTTTAACACTCAACCACAAACAGGCCCGACACTTCCCCTGGCGTCTCCTACAGCCAGGCTCTCAGTTCCCGAGCAACCGTGCAAAATCAACCACAGGCAAATCAGAAACTTAGCACAGTCATGCAAACACTTACCACCGTCCTTAGCAGGCTAGCAACCCAAGAAAGCCTCCTCATTTAATTAGCAAAGAACGCAAACATCACTTTAGGTCAAATTTCGCACACCTAACTAAATGGATAACGAAATAAACAGAGCGAATAACAACAAACTCACCCAAATGGCCTAACTATGATAAACTGCAATGCAAATAGCATTAAAATAAAAAAAAGAACTGGAGCTCCTGATAACTGAATTTATATATATATATATTATATGGCGTACAGTTTCCCGCGAATCATCGAAAATGGAGGAGGAGGAACACTGTTCTTGGTTAAACCTCTCGCATGTTTTAGCTAAATCGTGCCACACAAACAAGCTAGAAGTGGGAGCGGTATACGTGAACAGCCGCTCAGCCGCTTCGCAGGAAAACTTAAAATCATCGCCGGATACTTGCCGCCGAGCCACATTTTCCCGATCCAGGTCTTCAAGGATACTATGCAGGAAGACCTGTCTACTTTCCTACTCGGGGACTTCATCTCCAAACATACAAATTGGAACAGTACCACAGTAAACACCAACGGGCGAAAACTGCATTCTCTGGCAGAGGAAAAATCCTGGGACTTCTATGGGCCGGAAGATCCCACCCACTCGGACTGGCACCTCGCTGATGAACTTGACATAGCGATAGTCAAAAATTACCACCATAGCATAACCTCCAACACTCATACAAGTACTACTTCTGACCATAACCCAGTTATCATAACACTAAGGCCATATCAAATGAATCAAAGCCAAAAAACAATCAAAACCATCGACTGGGTTGCGTTCACAACCACCCTGGCACAGGACAAAACCCATTTCCTAGAAACTTACAGTTCAAACGTCATCGACCAACAGGCGGCCGAAATAACAAAGAAAATCCAAAATGCGATCAATAAATCAACCAAAGCCAAAACAATAAATACAAACTGCATATATTCCATCCCAAAAACACTAATTGCAGAAAAAAGAAGAGCTAAAAAAAGAGCCCAGAGAACTCTAGACCCGGGCGACAAACGAACTTTTAACAGACTGGCATACGAGACGAAACTAGCACAGCCTAAAAATGTTACCAGGGAACAAACATTTTTAACGGTGCACTAAGAAGATGTCACTTCTCGAAACCATGGAAAACGGCTAAAGTAGTCATGATACCAAAAAAACAAAACTAAAACATCTGTAGAAGGTTACAGACCCATATCACTCCTGCCGATCCTGTCCAAACTCGTGGAAAAAATCAAAGATAGGCTGAATGAGGAAATTACTGAAAAGTTCCTACTACCTGTCGAGCAGTTCGGCTTCCGTACCCAACTATCGACTGAACTCCAGATTGTCAAAATATCCGAATTTATCCAGTCCTTTGACCTCAAACAAAAAACGGGCATGGTCCTTCTGGACATCAGCAAGACCTTTGACAGGGTCTGGCACGCGGGTCTGCTAGCCAAAATGGCCCACCTAAATATGCACTCCCCAATCATAAAACTAACAGCATCCTACCTCACTGGGCGCACCTTCTACATGAGCCACTTGGGAGCAAGCTCCACGACCAGACACATAAAAGCCGGAGTGCCACAGGGATCGGTCCTGGGACCCACATGGTTTAACCTGTTTATGACCGACCTCCCTCTCACGCAAAACGTGGAATTTGCACTCTATGCGGACGACACCGCTATCTACACAAAAAGCATCAAACTGAGGAAAGTGAGATCTGACCTACAATTAGCTCTAGACAACATCGGCATATGGGCCTCTAAGTGGAGAGTAAAGATAAACGCCTCAAAGACACAGGCCATAATTTTTCAAAAAGACAGAAATGTTTCAAACCCACTTGAATACGACGATGAGGAAATACAGTGGAAAGAAACTGCAAAATACTTGGGGGTAACTTTGGACAAGAAGCTCACCTGGAGCGCCCACATACAAAACGCCAGAGCCAAGGTGAAAGCAATGATGGCTGCACTACGACCTCTAAACGCTCCAAACTCCAAGCTGAGTCTAAAAAATAAAAAGCTAATCTGAAAAGCAATTCTACGACCAATAGCCACGTACGCCTGCCCCGCCTGGGCCACAGCCGCAAAAACGCACAAAAAAACTGGTAGCATTACAAAATAAATACTTAAGAGCCATTATCTCGGCCCTAAGGTACGTCAGAAAAACCATGATAAGAGGGGACCTGGGGCTCATATCACTGGAGGAATTTATGACCGAATCAACGAAGGCAGTCTTAAATCGAATTAGCTACATAGACAATGACATGTTATGGATGGCAACAAATTACGACCCCTCCGACAGAAGGCTCTACAGGGGAATAAGAAGCACCCTTGAACGAGACTAATCAGTACGAAGGTACATGCCAAACCCTTCTTTTTCTCTCCCCTATCCACATCCTTAAGATAAAGTAATTAATTTTCACATTGTGCAATTTCTTATACCAAGTACAAATAACTTGCAACGTGCAAAATCTTAAAAAACAAAATAAAATAAATAACTAATTTGAGATAATCAATGGGTGGTACTAGCAATTTACAAATGTAAAGTAAACCAAGGAATACATATTCCTCTTAATACCTATTGCACACACATAAACGACTAAACTAACTATACTATACCCACTACCTACAGAAAGTAATTAATAAATATAAATCTAACTGTTGCAAACCATTCCCAATAACTGCGGTACCACCACAACACCACAACGCTACTACTTACAATCACAGCCAAAAACTCAAAACCAAATTCCAATACCGCACAAATCACAAAATTCTCAAATTACAAAACTTGAAAAATTTGCTAATACACTAAAACGCTCTTAAAGTCGCGCCTCACCGTAGTGTGTTGTAGTAGTAGTAATCATAAAAAAATCATTAAATAAAAAATAATTAAAACTTCCTGCTTTCAACATACTAATAAAAACCATCCAAATAAAAATTCCACAGTCCAAGCAGACGAAGGAGGCAGCTGTCTTATTATAGACCTCTAGTCCACTTCCCCCTGCGAGATAAAAAAAACATTTAAAAATAAGCATGTAGGCCGCTAGCGGTCCAAAACTCACCACCTAACGTCCAAAAATCCCATGTCAGTGCCAAAAGTTTTCCTTTCATCTACCAAGTCTCTCTATCCACTAAAAGAGTAAGGGCAAAAGATCCATCTTGACCTGACCCTTGCTCGGGCCAAAGCCCAGCATTTTAGGCCACAATACCATACCAATACCGTTTAGGTCATTGCTTGGCAGTCAACGGAGCTCAATTTGAACATTTGATTTAGTATTGTTATTTTGTTTTGTATTTAGCCTACTTTTGTCCCTCTTTATATACTTAATTTTATCTCAATTTTTGTGTTGTGAAATTAATTAATTAGGTATTTGTGATTGAGTCATAATAAATATTTTTTCTCGCTTATTTTTTTTTCAAGAATTTGCTAAATTTTATTACTGATTATTTCCCTAATAGACCTATCCCATAAAACAGACTTTTGGATAGCGCGTGCCTGAAGAAGAGTGGTATCTCTTTATCTTTTATATAATTAAAAAAAGACGACGTGCCTTTTCACGCACGCCCTATCCAAAAGTCCGTTTTATGGGATAGGTCTATTATAATATGAACCAATCAAAAGCCTTGAATTTTCGAATAAATTTCGTTTAAATAAGCGATTAAATCACAAGAACTATTTAACAGCGATTAAATTTTAGCCTCCATATTGGATTTTTGTTTACGATTTTATGGTGTTATTTACAAGTTTTAACAAACATTTTTTATAAAACAATAAAAAATAAGTTATCTAGTTTACGAAGTATCAATTATTACTTATTACATACCTTAAATTAATGGAATTTTCGTTAAAAAATATTTATAAATTTTGACACATACGTCAGATTTTATGAATTGTCAAATAGTTTCCTTTAATTCGAGTAATAATCTAGACGTATATCACTCAACCTATACATTTAATCTGTCAAACAATGCTCAGTAAGTTTTTTATTTGATTTTTCTTTTTGGAAAATAGTTTCATGCAAAATAATTAAAGATAAAACCCCTCGACCGCTACGCGGTCTCGTGATTTTATTAAATTATTTTGCATTCAACATTTTCCAACAAAAACCAAACAAAAAACTACTGAGCCTAGTTTAACCGATTAAATTCATAGTTCTCGTGATATAATATATGAATAGAGAAAAATATACTTTTTTTTAACAGATGGATTGGCAGAAGAGAATCTATTAAGTGGCCTGCCAGATCGCCGGATTTGACGCCCTTAGATTTTTTCTTGTGGGGTCATGTTAAAAAATAGTGTTTAAACAAAAACCACGTAATTTGGAGGACCAATAGGTGCGAATAACTGCTGAAATGCGCAGAATACCTGCAGAGGTGTTTCACAGAGCTACTACAGTAGAATTTAAATACCGTTT